AGCACCGCGATGCATCCGGCCATTGTATAAAAAACTACAGTAAGATAATCTCCATGTAAAAGTTAGTAGAGGCTTTCGCGCCTAACACCTATTGGTAGAATAATTCAACTAACGATTTTATTTGCTGGTCAGATGTTAGAACTTTATAAAGTGAAATTGTTAACTTTTCAATCTTTACATGGACCTTTAATTACTCGAGAAGGTCGGTATGAGATAGGGTTATCAATAATAAAAAATATCCCAGAAATTTAATAACATACAGGATAAGTATCCCATTTAAAAAAGTTTATTTTTATTGTATTCCGTGAAATCTGAATACGAATGTTTTTTATGGGATATTTAAAAAAGTCAGTCATATCCACACAACTTTAAAGCCTTTTTTGAATATGCAATAGTGGTTATAAAAAGTATCTCATTAATAATAAGTAATCTTGTACATGATCTCAAATAAATTTGTTGAAATTAATTTCATAACTTTATAAAAATTTCACTTTTATTACTTCTACCGTTATTGCTACAAAAAAAATAATTTGTGTCCGGGTCTGGGATTTGATGTTAAATATTGATTCTAAATACATTTTTCAAGTAACAATGTCCTCCTGTTTTTGAAAATAAAGGTTACTGTTGAGCCAAATTCATATTTTTTTGGACACACAATATGTTTATATAATATTAAAAACTTCCCCTATCAATTATTTTGGCTCAAAGTAGATATTTTAAATTGATTATTGTGTCCAACACATGAGTTTCCTGTCAGGCTTCTTTCGGTTATTTTGTACAACCCCTGTAAACATTCATTGCCAAAGATACTGAAAAATTAAAATTTTATACTTTTCCTCATTTTAGAGAAATACAGAATAAAAATTATAGAGTGATATCGCAAACAACTTTTATTTGAACAATTTTCTTAAAAATTAGATTTTTGCGCCCAAGAGCCGTTCGTAAAAAACGTCACTCGTAAGGAACAGTTTTCTCTGATGCGAGACACCCTCTTACAATATTGAACGCCAGGGACGCAAGGCAGATAATTGGAACAAGTAAAACAAAGGCGCAGAATTAATATTCTAAATAGACGTGGAATACATTTTTTATTAAAAATACTATAGGCTTTTTTCGAATCGAATCTATTTAATCATGAAAGTATTTTTTGACTAAAATGTGAATAATTTTTAATGTCAAGTCCTTTTTTTAAATAACGCTCTAGAAATAATTTTTTTGTAACGAATTTTATTGAAAAATACAAAGAACAATAAAAATATAAAATATAATAGGCTAGTATTGACGAATGAAATAGAAAATAGTTTTGTTCTGGGAACCAGATTTTTATTGAAGTTTTATCATTTACAAATGATCATAAAATAAAAGTAAAGGACGACGTTTAGAGTCTTCCATTTCACCCAGTAATACAGAGCTTAAACCTATAGTCTTATCAAAAGAAAATAAACACAAGATGTTATTAAAATACATATAGATATTAAAATAGAATATTACCAGTTTGTTTTGGTTATAGTTCGCGCATGCGCAGACATGAAATGTTTTGGTTAAATTAGAACCAATCCTGAATCGCATATGGCATAATAGAAGACTACCGTACAAACAATTCTTTCAACATGAGCAGGTACAATTTCTAAACTTTTATTCACGCATGCGTATAATACTTCTTCTTTTTTAATCAAAATTCAAGTAATGAAAACAAAAAATAAGACTCATAACCTCTTATTAGTGCTTATGGTTTTGTCTTTTCTTACGATTTGTATATTTAAAAAAGTCAGAAAATAAAAAGATGCAGTAGAAATGTGAGATGTTTTAGTTCCAACTAAATAGATTCTGAACTAAATTTCATAAACTTTTGTTTTTGCGCTTGTTGTTCTGATCAGTTATAAAATAATTCTAGAACCACTATGATTTCGTAACCAAAACAAACCTATTTAGACTCTTAATAGAAAGTGTAAAAATATTATTTTGAAAAATTACCGATAATAGAAGGAGTAACCAAATTACGAAATTTATTTCTAAATAGAGTTGATTAAAACACCTCTTCATTGAGAGAGTTGGTTTTCGTCCCATTGGTTACTTTTTTTCTTAATTCAGTACTGTATTATTTCTGGTCATACTGAGGGGTAAACCGCAGAGAATTAAGTGTACAATTGAAAAGAATTTACAAGTTTAAGGGCCAATTCCACTGTTGTGTTAAACAAAGTTTAAATTACTAAACGAAGATTAAAATGACATTGTTAATCTAAAAATGTCATTTTAATCTTCGTTTAGTAATTTAAACTTCGTTTAACACAACGATGGACTCAGTTCTAAAGGAATTAAGGGGAATTGCCCGGGGATTTACGGGAATTCTTGACAAATGGTGCTTATTGCTAAAGAATTGTACGAATTGTCAAGGAATTAAAAAATATTTTTAACACATTCGCTGTCAAATCAAATTTATGAAATGTTTACACCACTCCAGCCATAATATAAAGGTTAGCAGACACCGGTGTCTGACTTAGCCCAAGCGGGCCCGAAAACCGACAATTTTATATAATTCAGTATGCCACAGCGCCACAACGGTGATTTCAGCAGACACAATTCCGTCTGCCGAGACTTGACTTTTTCGAGAAGTATATTGTATATAAGCTTCTTTTTTCAGATAATCTAATTTCACGAATGACGTTAGACAAATTTATATGTAACAGTCAATTCGATCCATGCAACGAAGTCGTCGGTTTTGACTTGCTATATAGTACGAATATATTTTATCAGACTCTATGCTAACTCAAAACTGAAACGATAGGCAACTAATGATACAATTGCCGAATATAGCAAGTGTATAGCCCATACTCCCTCCAGCTAAAACTATATTAAGTTGAGTTACTATACTTTGGTGCACAAAATAGTGGAAGGTTTGACATATTATAATTTTCTCTGCATAAGTAACATAATCCTTGAAGAAAAAAGGGTAGGTAATTATTTTTTTTTTTTTTACTATATTCAAAGTCTAAAATTTGTTGCTAAACCGATTCTGATTATTGAACACTTGCGAGGCAATATAACCGCTCCCAGTATATAACTGTCTAAGCCCTTCGGTAACCATTTGAACAAGTTATTGGAATGCCTAATTCCAGCAAAAAATTAAGAATCCATGTAAAGAGAAATACAGAAATAAATGTGAGGAGAGTAAGTGAAGAAAATAGAAATTGTTTCAAAAGGCGGTCGTACAAGACAGTGGGATTACATAGCAATATGTATCAAGACCAATAATAAGAAGCAAGTGAAAAAACGAAAGGGGAATCAAAACGGAATGTCTCTAGAAAATACATAATTGTTTTAAATAATATTGGAACATCAATGTGACAAACTATAGGCATTTTCGGAAACCTACTATAGATAACAAATCCAGATTACTAGTTTTATCCGATGGATCATTGAATTTAGTGCCGACAGTTTACGAACGAGTTGGATTATTGATCCTGTTTATCTACGGCTGTCATTCTTTGACTTTTCCCCCCTATTTGTTAAAGAACCATTTTAATTAAACATATTTGTAATCTGAATAATAAAGTCGCAATATGGGCATAAATAATACAAGTTATAAGTAACAGAATGTAGAAAAAACTTCAAATCTACTACTGGCAGACACCAAACGCCAAAAATTGCGCTATCCCTTTATAAAATCCTGCGGTGCGCTCGCGGATCTAATAATCTACTCGTAGGGTGGGTCACAAAATATTGATCTCGATCACAAAGCTGGATCAATAATCTAACAGTTTCCGAATACGGATAAGGTTAGTAACCATAGGTAAACGAACAATAGGATCTATAATCTTTCTGATCCGAGTAAGTTTCCGAAAACTCCTTGTTTCTTAATAATCATGGGAACTCTGAAAAGTGGGTTACAACAGCACCAAGCCAAATAAAAAAAAAAGTTATTTAGAGGAAGATATAAGAGAAAAGCACTCTACAAGACCGAATAAAATTGACGTAGATATTTCTGTGTCTCGGAGGTTAACTGCACTATGTCATTCTAGTCAACTTTTCAGTAGAGCAGATTAAATGTTGTTTGAGCACGTTTTGGGCTCCATAATTAGGTACATATTGTTACGCTTCGTATAAATTCACATTTTTCCAAATTCTAATTAATTATTTAAATAACATCATGTACATAAAACTTTGTTTAATTATGTCGACAATTTGTTTTAAATTGTAATCATGTGCAAGGTTGATTATTTAAATAATTATTAAATATTTTTAAACTTATACATATACGAACTTATAAAAAGGTAATTGGAGGTCAGATTGGGATTCTCCGCGTGGCTAGGCCGCTTGTTGGTCGCGAGGGCTTAGAGCCTGTTTTTTTTTGTATTAAATCGCGGTATTGACTTTAGTCAAAAGTTGTGACGTGTACCCCAAATTTGTTTTTAAGATATTTATTATAGTGTTAGTCCGTATTTGTGTATGTTCAGTTGCGACATTGTTCTGTGTAATTATTGTGTAAATATTTATATCATTATATTCGTTTTGAGAACACTGTGTTTTCTTCAGCCCTTAGGTTAGGTTCTGATATCAAGAGTAGAACCCTTATACAGTTAAGGGCTACGAAGCCAAGTTTAGAGTCCTTACACGATTGAGGTATGAATTCGTATATTTTGATTGATAACCCCCGGGACATAGATAGTCCCAAAATTAGTTAAAACACGTATAATGTGACATTTTTTTTTATAAAAACCCCTTAGCAAAAAATGCATTTAGCCATCCATTTATTGTCACAGTATTAATGTATTTTTTACTAACCTACCTAATAAATTTCCTAGTTGTATTTTAATTTGAATAAGTTGTTTTATGTCGACATAGTGCAGTTTCCCTCAGAGGCACAGATTATAAACAGCATTACACAGCACATTCAACTGTTTCCCATAGTGCCTTCCCACTGTACCAAAAAGAAGTCAACAAAAATATACTTAGCGGAGAGGCTTGACATTTCAATAATGCATGGCATGTACATATAATAAATGCGGCAGAGCCATGTAATTCAAATTAAGGGCCAATGCAGTGCCAGTGTCTATGCAAATGCAAGTCCAGAAGCAAAACTGAAGATGCACAAAAAGTATGATGAAGTAGCTAGAATTTTAAAGTATGCAGATAAGGAACTAGCAGTTAATGAAAAGTATGTATGTTCCGCTTGCATTGACTTACAAAAAGTACTAGTAACACCCCACTCTCAAGTTAGTCCGTTCTATTACAAGAGCAAACTGGCCACGTGCAATCTTATGGTTTATGACAGGCTACTGCTACATTTAGATGAGGAAATCGCGAAGAGGTGACTGGCTTTCTTTTGCATTTTTAAAGATTCAGAAAGAAAAAAGGTGTTAAGAAAGTTATCCTATATTAGGATAATTGTGTTGGTCAAAATAGGAGCCGCTTCATGCGTGCATACAAGAAAACGCCAATTAGCGATCTATAGCCCCAATCAACAGGTAATAGTCCCTCATCTCACTGCAAAAAGTGGCATGTCGTGTTTTTTGCTTGCTATTTGTAAGTTAGGTACAGGGGAGGGGGTAAACAACATGTACTGTGTTTAATATAATCTGTCAAATTCAAAATAATGTCTCACATCGATTGAGTTTTTCATTTTTAGTTCTATTCATCTATAACAATACAAAAATCGATAAATACTGCCGATGTAGGGAAATTACTAAACTTACAACGAAAGTAGCAACACCGAACGACCAAAATTTGCTCGCAAAGGGATTTTTTTATTATTATAGACGTCTATAGTATAACAATTTTTATTTGAGGGCGATTCATTTGCGAAACATACGTTATTGCCGGCCGAACACAATGCAATTCGTAGATGAGTCACCCTCAAATACTATAGAAGCAATAGTTAATTATCATTTCCTATATTAGGAAGTTACAGGATAAAATGGTGAGTTTGCTTGAATTTCGTGAGGCTGAAGTCAATAAACTTTTGGGAAAACCAGAAGATCGACACCTTATACAAAAACAAGCCAAAAACGTATTTGAGAAACTACCAGGCAGTTGTTCTCAGAAGAAACAGCAACGAAATTCCAAACAGTACAGTAAAAAAAGTTTCCATCTTCTGCAAGAGATGTTCTGATGAACCACGTTATTAATAATAATACTCTCCCTAATTCACCCCCTTACGAGTAAACTTTAACCCCAAAAGTTGAGCTTGTCCGGGGAAAAGACGGCCATTATTATTATTTGCCAAGGCGGTTCGGGGCGACTTAAAGATGACTGATGCATTTGACTTACAGGTGAGGAAAACCCCACCCACCATCATCAAAACGGTAACGCATGGCCATTTATAATCTGGATGTCATATCAACAGAAATTAAATTTCTGCTAATATGGCATCCATCAAATCCTATAACGAACATGCAAATGAATTAAAAATTCACATGTCTGGTGAAGGATTCGAAGCCGCGTGTCTTTCAACCACCGAGACGATGGGATGAAATGTTTCAACAAAACTTATAATAAACACAATTTAATTTGTTTTGACCAGCTTGTTATTTTTATGTGAAAAAAATATAAATTTATATTCTTATTTTCCAAGTTCAAATAATTATGTCCGCTCTGGAAAGCAGAAAATCTTTTGTTTGGTCACAATTAAAATAATCGATAATCGGAAATAAAAGATTAAAAGAAAATAAAAGATTAAAAGAAAATAAAAGATTAACTGAAAATATTCTTTAATCGAAAATAATTGAATATCGATTGTTTTTAATTGACTAATTGATCAATCAATTAATCGAATATCGATTGTTTTTAATTGACTAATCGATTAATTGAATAATAATCAATTATTTTGCTCATCCCTAGTCACAATAGCAGACAGATATCAAAATTTAAATAAAATGAAAACCAGAATGTTTCACTCATTTAGCTAAGCCATAGTAGACAATCGATAAAAATTGCACAAATATGGGTGGCCGCTGGATCATCTCAATAAATAAATACAGAAGACACCAGTGTCTGACATGACATATTCAAACTGTACTTCAGACACTAATGTCCGCTCTGGCAGCGAATGTGTTAAAGGACTTGCAGGAATTTGATTGATGTACATATTTTGCACTGCGGTTTACCTCCGAGGTCATACCATAGATAATTAAAAATCACCAGCTAGAGCAAAACAATCAATTGTTCTTAATGATCGCTCTGAAAAAAATCACGTCCGTAATCAAATGTTTAATCTGTTCACGAGTAAAAACGATAAATTCGCGTCCATCCTCGAAAGCATCATCACCGTGAGTCATAGGTCCGCAATTTCTCGTGCAGTAAACCCGGTGATTCTTCTTGGAAGCGTCCAAAATATCGACGCAAAAGCGATAATCAGAAGCCTCTTCTGGAGGACCCACTAATTGAGCAGCAAAGTAAAATTTGCAATCTTCGTATTCGATGTGGAGCTTGAATAGCTTTGAATCGTATTTAATAATGAAACAATCAGTGATTCTCGTTTCGTCGTTGATAGAAAACGGGTAGGAAACGCAGTCTATTTCCAATAACGATTCATAATGATTGTTAACAATGTGCTCATACATCTGATCAAACATCATTTCTTCAGAGCAATTTTCGTAGTCGATCAGAGGGCAAGGATGCGGAGTGAATGTGCAATTCTCCTCGTGTCGCCTGATGTCTTTCGCCTTGGCTGTAAACCTGCATTTGCTATACTTGCAGGGGTAGTCAATGTGGGCGATTACTTGGGCCAAAACGAAATTTTGCGTGTTTTGAAATGGTTTTTTGCAAGAGGGACATTCAGAGAGTTTCTCCTTGCATGTTTGGCAAAAGCTGTGGCCTGTCAAGCATTGGAGGATGGGTGGCGTCATATATAAAAAGCAAACCTGAAAAAGTATAAAAATATCTATCAATTTCATTTAATTTTTATCATTTACTATAAAAGTAACAGAAATTAAAGGACGATTTTCATTATCTTCCACTTAACCCTGTAATACAGCCGGTTGCAAGAACGATTGTTAAAATCTCTCGTTAGCTAAAGAACAAATAACTAACTGAGATTAAAACTGGCAACGGCGCTTTTCCAACTGACAGTCTGTCGCTTCACAGCTGATCACGGGAGATTTTTAAAATAATGAAGTTAATTTGGTAATATTTTTTCGAAAATTAATTACAAATAAAGTAAAAAATGAAATTGAGGCTCAACCTTTACGACTATGGTTAAATGTTAACACTATCCCTATCTTTTTTCGACATCGCCTCATATTTTTTAATAGACAGAAGCAAGGACAGTCGGTTCAGAGAAAAAATGTTTTACACATGAATATAATTTCTTAAAATAAATAGAATGGCTTAAATGAAGAAAAGGTTCCAGTAAGTCACTGGAAAATACTCATTTAACTGCCCTTCTAGTAGTGCTCGATTAAAAATCTGTGATTTGTGGTTTAAAGCAACAGTATTTAAATATAGTTTGTCCCTTTTATATAAACTAAAACTATTTTTTCTTGTACTTACTTTACATTTTCTTTTCCCGTTTGTTATAGAAAAGCATATTTCTTTCTACTGTACATTATTTTTTCAAATAGAAGTACATAATTAAAAATATGTTTAGTTTTTATCATGTGTGCAAACCCCATTTACTGTGGTAATATTTCCAATGTATTTTCTATTTTTAACAGACTTTAAAAAAGAAGTAGGTTCTCAATTCATTGGAATATATTTTTTTATGGATATTCAGCGACAATTCTTTACTATGTTGTCCGATTTCTGATTATTTTTTTGTTAGAAAGGGGGCTTCTCAGAGATGGTTTCTTAATATAAATTTGGTAAAGATCTGATGATGAGAAAATAATCACTCTTCGTATTTTGTAGTCGTCAGTTTTTTTTAAATTAATTTTGTTACTTATACATTTTTCAATGAATCAAAGTAAAAAACTGTTTAAATTGGGAAATTTCCAAAGTTCAGTATCTATTTTTTAGTTAGAAATTGAAAACTGGAGGAGAGATGGTAAAATCTCTGGTATGAGAAATAAATTCACATTTGACCTATTCTTGAAAATCATATACAGTTCCTTTAATCCCTTCAATTTGGATGCTATATTTCTCTGCTAATAAACTAATGCTAGAATTTATTTTTTATTTAAGAACAACTTTCTATTTGTACAATATTGGAATTTTTAGATTGTTTAGAAAATTAAATAATTATGATATGATAATTAGCTTTTATAGGTTGTGTAATAGTTGAAATTTAGAATATTAAACAATTACTATGTATAAATTACACTTATTTACCTTAATATATTTGCTTTCACATTTATAATTTACAGATTTGTAGGTCATAAATAAAACACCAAATTCATTTTAAAATTTTATTTTTTAGGATTAAATTAATATACACAAAATACATAACATAATAAAAAATATAATAAATCTACAATAAATAAAAATACATTTATTTTGCCCATCATTATTAAGAATTCTAATTCTAGAAAATAAACATTCAATTCAGGATTTCTTTTTGGTTATGACAGGTTTCAAGTTGACTAGTAATTTTGTGATAAAATTTACAGTTTGCCTAACGTATTGGATATGTCTACTTAGCCAGTTCCACATATTTAATAAATGTATAAAAAGAAATGGATTATTTCAACATAGGTACAAACAATAAAAATGTTATTACTGATAGTAGTTTACTGCTAAATATTTACTTTTCTGAAAATAGGCAGTGTTGTGATCGTGATTACCTGTATTGATAAACCACGTATGCAGCAACACAGTTTTCGGCTCTTCTCTGCTTCGGCTAATGGACTGTCGTAATTTCCTTATGGAATAAAACTCGCAAAATCATCGTAGATAACACCTTTTATTTATGACTCTTCATAAATCTTCAGTACACTTATTTACAAAAAGTTTTTTACATATTTATTTACATTCTAAACTATCTTTGCTGAGAAAAACATTTTTTAAAAAATAACATTTTTATGTTGTGTAAGAGCGAACTCAATACACGTCTGTTTGCTTCGGTGACTTGTTAAAAAGTTAGTTAAAAAATAACATTTTTATGTTGTGTAAGAGCGAACTCAATACACGTCTGTTTGCTTTGGTGTCTTGTTAAAAAGTGCGCTTCTTTTTCGGTTAGCTGCGTATATGTTGAGGGAGATAGAAAGCGATAGAGGGAGACAGATGGAACAAATGCATAGTGTCGGCTAGTCAGGTGTGATCCTGTTTTGCCCGTTAACGTGGGTAATGTCACGTAGACCATGAAAGCAGGTGTTTACAACGATTTTTTATATATATTCAACAGACCACCCAAAGTGTGGTGCGCAGGACCGGCTTCAAATGTTTTGATATGTTTTGATTTCGAAACATCCTCCCCCCACGAAAAAGAGGTCAGATGAATAAGTGAAGTTTAAATAAATGTATTGATTGTTTAAATGTATTTAAGCTACAGCATTGGTTTCAGTCTGGACCTGCTGGCGAACACATCCCACTTCAGTGTCCTAGCCCTATCCCTGTGACCTGATGTACCTTGCTTATGCTTTTTACTATATACAAATAATGAATTGGAACATTAGAACGTTAGAATGATTGAAGGAATGTGATTAATTAGTAATATGAGCGCTGAAACTATATTCAGGCTTTAGAAGGGGTCTACTATAAGATCACCCTGTATATAATGAAACGAAAAGAAATATGAGCACTGAAACTATATTCAGGCTTTAGAAGGTGTCTACTATAAGATCACCCTGTAACGAAAAAAAATATGAGCACTGAAACTATATTCAGGCTTTAGAAGGTGTCTACTATAAGATCACCCTGTATATAATGAAACGAAAAGAAATATGAGCACTGAAACTATATTCAGGCTTTAGAACAAAAAACTTTGTAAAGAGGGATTAGTAACCCAAGAGTGTCCTTATTTTAGGATCACCCTATATAAATGTCTCATTTTAGAGTACATTATGTAAAAGTCGAAGAGAAAGAAGGTAGATAATAGAAGAAACGAAGAAATTAAAAACCGCGGAACTCGAGGACAACTGAATTGTCCGAGACTCCTTTTATTTATATTTTACCCCTAAACAGCCCCCGGGTTATGGCTGTTAAAATTAAATGTACTACAGTCCGCAATATTATGGTTTGGGCACGGAATCCTTAGGTACCTTGTGCGAGATACTTCCGGATTCAGGCCATGGGTGGGTTTCACCGCGTCGCACTGACGGGTGTCGCCCTGTATGCGCGTAACGCAACATACAGTGGTTTGCGGACTTGGAAGAAGAAGATAGAAAAGATTGACTCTAACTGTTGATAAAAATAAGCAAAAAGGAAAGTTAAAACAAGGCGGTGAAATGATCAGTTGCTAAATAGCCAACTGTCTAAGGTTGAACGTCGTCATACCTGTGCAAAGGTACCACCTTGGTGATTGGTCTTATGCTAATGCTGCCATTTGATAAAATTTTGAGCGACCGAACATTACCGTCCTTACCGGGGTAGGTTTCTAAGACCCTGGCTAACGGCCAAACAAGAGGCGGAGACTCTACATCTTTTAATAATACAATATCATCAGGTTTTAAATTTATTTGTGTAGTCAACCATTTTGGTCTATTTTGTAATCGATTTAAATAGTCCTTGGACCATTTTTTCCAGAAATTCTGTTGTATATGAGTGCATTTTTGCCAAAAGGAAAGTCGATTAATTGTTAAATTGGATATGTCTTTTTCTGGAAAAGACGTGAGAGATGTGCCGATAAGAAAATGTCCTGGAGTTAATGGCTGTTCGTCGAGAGGGTCATTTGAATTTGTATATAAGGGACGTGAATTTAAAATAGCTTCGATTTGAGATAAAATTGTAGAGAGTTGCTCGAAAGTATGAGTGTTATTACCTATGATTCGAATTAGATGATACTTTGCACTCTTAATGGCGGCTTCCCAAATTCCTCCCCAGTGTGGCGCTCTAGGGGGAATAAATTTCCATTGAATTTCTTTAGTAGATAAAAAGTTGATAATTGAAGTTGAATTTGAGGGTTTTTTGAAAAATGAATAAATGTCTTTGAGATAATTATTTGCTCCTTGAAAGTTGGTAGCGTTATCACTATAAATTATAGAGGGATTGCCCCTTCTGGAGATAAAACGTTTAAGAGTAGCGATAAATGCCTCAGTTGTGAGGGCTGAAACTAATTCAATGTGCACTGCTTTTGTGACCATGCACACGAAAACTGCAATATAACATTTAGAGACGGGAGCTTTCTTTAAATTTGAAGTTTTTATGAGGTAAGGACCTCCGAAATCTACACCTATTTTTTGAAAAGGACGAGAAATTGTTACCCTGTCAGCCGGTAAGTCAGCCATTATTTGTTGTGCTGTTTGAGCATTGAATTTAAAACAAATTGTACATTTAGAAATAATACTCTTAATTTCACGAAGAGCGTTAAGTGGCCAATATCTAAGTCTAATATTTGACAAAACATTTTGAGGACCACTATGTCCTAATCGAATATGTTCAAGACTAAGTATTAATTTGACAACATGACATTTAGAGGGTAATAGTATAGGATACTTTTGAGAATATGGTATGTTTGCATGAGATAACCTGCCCCCTACTCTAATGATACCGTCTGTATCTAAAAATGGTTTTAACGATAAAATTTGTTTGTCTGCAATAACTAAATTATTTTTTAAAGTATTGATTTCTTTTGAAAAGTATTTGGATTGGATCTGTTTTAGTATAAAATTTAAGGCTAAGTCAAGTTCGGGTATGTGAAGTGGTCCTGAGAATTTGCAGTCTGTATTTAGGACATTATTTTTGTACCTAAGTAGGTACGCTATGGTTCGATGTAGTTTAGTGAAATTTGAGAATTTTAAAAAGATATTATACCAATAATCGGAGACTT